GACAATCGTCCTGGGCAGGCTACGCACAGAAACCGCCAAGGCTTCATATCCAAACTTTCCAACCAACATCTTGATTTGTTCCTTGGTTGAAGTTGCAATGACATCATAATCACATCGACAAATGACAAGTTGCTTGACAATGCCGGAAGGGTTAAACTTAGTCAAGTGAAACCCAGTGATTTGGAACTAAGTGTGGATCGTGTGCCAGCTTGCGCAAATTGAACAGAGCATCATCTGGCAATGCTCCTAGCTCAATGCCAACATCCATAGCATCGGCATCAGCATCATCAGCAGCAGGGTCTACTTGGTGGCGTGGATCAGCACTATCCCCCATGCAAGTTCCAACTCCACCAGACTTCTCATTCTCTTTCTCTTGAGAACCCCCTTCTGCCTCTTCCATGCCAGCGTCAGAATCACCAGACTGCTGATCAGGCCCATCAGGCTCCTTTTTGACAGGGCTAGCGCCATTGACATGTTGCACATCAATGACACTGGCAGACTTCTGTTCACTTTCCTCTTTGACATGGGCCTCTTGAGGAAATGTCTGGCAGTTGCCATCACCCATCCCAGCGGCACCATCAGAAGTCTCGCCCCCACACTTGCCATCAATCTTGCCATTGAAAGCCTGCTGGGCAGCTGGACTGGTGTCTTGCCCACCATTGTTGGCCTCGGCCTGACTGCGATTGAAAGCTACCAGAGCCAAGGCTTGCTCACTCACACCGGCCTCACTGTCATGGACTGCCTTCTGGGCAGGCGGGTCAGCCGCTGGAGATCCTGACTGATCCTTTTTGTCACTTGCACTGGCGCTGGCACTTGGGCTATCATGCTCCTTCTCAGTCTCCTTTGTCTCAATCTCTGCATCCGTGGCTTTGGTAGCCGAATCTCCTGTCAAAAACGAAAAGCCACTGGATAAATTTGAACATAATATCATATATATATATATACTGAGAAATTTTTGAATTTCCTAGTTCGTTTCGAAAGTTCAGTGCAGTACAGTGCATTCAGAAATATTTACAAGTTACAAGTTACAAGCAGTTGTTGAGCTCCTTCAGTTAAGGCATTGTCAATTGCATTCACCCATTCATTCTCTTCCGTCTCTGAAAGCTCTGGCGTATCACACGCATCCGCATCATTATCCTTTTGAGGAGTTGGATTGGTTGAACTTGACCCTGGGTCGGTAGTTGCATGATTTTTGGCCAAAGTCTTCCAATACTCAAGGGCCTTCTGATTCACTGGAAGATCACATACTGGCTGGGAATTGACAGATTTCCAATCTACCTTACGCTTTTTGGTAGGTGAAGACGAAGGCTGCGAAGGCGAAGGTAATGATTCTGGTCCAGGCTCAGAAGGCTCCGCTGCCTTCGCCTTCGCCTTCGCCTTCGCGGTAGACTTTGCCTTCGGTGTTTGTGATCGCTTGGGTGTCGGTGTTGGCTTAGGCTTGGCCTTAGCCGCAGACTTTCCACGTGGTTTTGGCGCCATGACCCACTAATGTTCCTGAACAATGTGTTTGAGCCCGTAAGAAATCTGGCAGTGTTGGTGCAACTGACGGAGTGGCCCAGGCAGTGATGCTTGAGTCTTGAGTTGCAAAACAATGTGTCCGAAAGCTCCTTGAATATAGTAGTAGGGTCAAGTCAAGTACACAATAGATAAAGCCTTTGCACCTGCCTGCACCGCGCACATTTTGCGCGTTCATTCGGTCCAAGAACTCCTGTCCGCAGACGCAACCCAATCCACAGACACCTTTGGGAAAAGGACTCAGGACCTACCCTGATTAGAAGCGCACAGGATTTGGCTCTGACTTGAGTTTGGATTTACACGCCTTCACTCTTCACCATCAACAAAACAACGAACAAATAAACTAATTCGTTGATGATATTTATGATGATGTTGGAAAGCAATAACTAGAATTTGGAGCTTGGATAGTATAGAGTTTAAAGTATAAAGTATAAATTGAATGATAACTACCGTATCTGTCCACATCAGAGGTGAAGACTTGGTGACTGAGCCCTTTGGGCCTCTTTAGTCACCTTTCACTTCAAGCCTGGCACTCTTACCTGCAAGGTACTAAACTACCCACTTGGAGCTACTACTGTAGTTACTATTGACAAGTCCGTCCAGTGTAGGCTGGACGTTCGAAGATTCACCGCCATGCCAATCTCATCTGCTTAGCCGATGAGAAATGTAGCAACAGCTTGGATGCCGCCGGGGACATCTAAAGTGTAGTCTTTTGCCACACTCAAGGCACCTGATAGTGCACTCACAGTCTGCTTGGTCAACGGAGTGTTTGTCTGACGAGACCGCTTCACGGATTTTGAACACACGCTGGAAAGGATGTTGCCAATCGACCTTGAACTTGAAACTCTGGTGTGGTGCCAAACAGTTTTTTGAATGAATCATCCATAGTATCCATTCATCCAAATCCTACCCGACCCCAACAAAAAATACATAAAAATAAGTAAGAATCTTTGCAAGCCACATCCATGTGAGGCATGCTCGGAACTTCTCCGTATACTGGCCATGGTCACCACACAAGTCCTGACAAGACACATGCAACTTCTCAGCTGCACTCTTGATCTTGTCCAACAGCTCTCCCATGTCTGAAGCACATTGCGAAACAACCTTGGAGGCTTTGAGGCAAAAGACTTTCGTGATGTCTGCCTCCAAATCGAGAATCTCTTGCACCGCTACCACAGCCAAGAGATTTTTGGGAATCTCAAGTGAGGGACACGACGCAATTGAGTTCAATGACTTGGTGAACGACTTGCACATGTGCTTCACAATCGCCCCAATGTCACTAATGATACTCTGGGTGTTCTTGTCGGTCAGCTCCCAGAATTGTTTGGTTGATGTGTTCTCAATCGATGGTGTGAACGTCACCTTCTCCATCATGAACATGAAGTCTTTTTGAATACCCTCCATGTAGGCATCGATTCCACCCTCAGCTTTTCTGGCCTCGTCGAGCTGCTTTGTAATGCCTTCAAGCGCACGCATGATGAGGGCATCCTCAATGATGTAGTCGGCACCCTGACTCTTGATACACTCCCCTGCCTTAGTGACGCCAATGAAGCCTTGCACCATTGATTCAATGAACTTCAAGCAACCTCGGAGTTGTTTGCCTTCCTCGCCCATGACACTAGTCATCAAATTGGCTTGCTCCATGTTTTTGGTCAACCTGTTGAAGTCTTCCTCAGATGGCAATTGTTGGCAAAGAAAGACCATCTCAAAGACTTGCGTGCAAGCAGTCAAATGATTTGTAGCTTGGTCATGTACCTGTCCTTGTAGCGATCTCTCAATCTCACTGTTGAGTTCATCCATTGAAGACTTCAATTCCTGGTAGCAGCCACGATTCAAAAGGTCAAAGGCCTCAACAGCTTTGCACAAGGCCGACCTGTTCTTGTGCCATTCGCAAAGGGTGGCCTGGGCCGCTTCAGCATTCAATTCACCACCCATTGCCTTCACCAGCTGTGGAATGAAGGTAGCAACATAGTTCCCAAACGACAGGAATTCCTTGAGAAGCGAATCATGATTCTTCTCAAGAGACCCTTGCAAATGCACAATGCATGTGGACTTTCCTGTCAACTCAGGTGGCAAAGCGGTTTTCGACTTGAGTGCTGCAGTGAGATCGCGAACGAAAGGGATGAGGTGCAACCAACCAAAGGCATGTAGAGCCGCAATTGAAGCATCCTTGGCCAGCTTCTGCAGGTGGGAAATGTGGCTACGGTCTGCACCCTTCAAAGATTTCGCTCCCGTCAACCCACAAACACAAACATGCACAAGATCCTGATGATTGATATGATATGATGATATGATATGGTATGATATTCTGGTTTATGACCTGTATTATTCACCCAATCCACACAACAACATGTCCTTCGGACTTGGTTGCTGTGATCGCAGACACAATGCTTTTGGCAAAGTCCACAGTGAAGTCTTTCCTGTCGTACTCACCCTTGGACGCACGAAGCACATCATGCAAGTTATACCCCTCGAGTTCTGCACTGGCTGCAGCCAAATCATCCAGAATGTCTGAGGAAGCCTGCCTGCTACGAGCGTTCTCAAGCGCTGTTTCAATAATCTTCTTGCCCTTGTCCAAATCAAAGATTTGGACCAACCAATGTTGGTTCTTGGCGTCTGCCTTGAGGGCCTTGACTGAAAAGATTTCACAGCATTCGATCACTTTGGATGGAGGAGCTGTGAAATCGAGCAGAGTATGCACAGATGAAATCACCTTGCTGTTTCGGTCTCGCTGATCCTCACTCAGTGCACTGTCAAAGATTGTGGAATTTCTGGACAGCTCATTGACAAATCCAGTGAAGAAAGAAAGGCCTTCCTGATTGAACTTGGATACGCCTTTGATGAGCTTTTGTCCAATTTGGCTGATGACCAGGACAAAGAAGTTGATGCCATGTGGTTCGCCCAAGTGCTTCAGGTACTTGTCAAAGGTGTCTGTGAAAAGAGCTTCCCACTTGGCTGTTTTTGTGTCCTGTCGAAATCAGAATGCATACTGTCATACATACTGCGCGCAATCCCGCAAGTGCTTTAGAAGAAACAAACTTCTAGATTCTAGATCCTCAAACTGCATACAAACCCCACAATGGTCCCAAACCCAGTCCTCGAATGCAATAGCACGCAAACAACGTTCCCATACAGCCTCGCTTGGTTGGTGTTCAGCTGCAAAAGACTCAGTAAATTCTCCGACCAAGGTGTAGAGCTCTGATCCCGCGGTGGTGCAAGACATTAACCGCTTGATGATGTCAAGCAAGATGTTTACTGTTGATATCATGTCCTCCAAAGCAGTGATGGTATCTGCAGTCTCAGTGCGTCTCCTCTTGATCGACTTGGATTTCGCTTGCATTCCTGGAGTGGAAACAGTCATTGACAACAACTGAAAACACTAATCCCAAACTCCAAAAAACTAGCACCGAGTAGCGCTTGCAAACTGTACACAGTCACTACACTACACTACACTGCATTGTAAACATTGTGTATATTATTTATATTTAATATATAACACACACACACGCACACTGTCCTGATTTAAGTTCGTTCAGCTTGCTTTGTCTGGTCTTTGCCCAAGGATTGAAGGATGTATCGGCCGATGATGATGCATCAAGCTTCTGTAGATCCTCCAACTGTGCCATGTAAGACTCAAGCAATTCTTGATCCTCTTTTGGAACTGTAGGCGGAGTTGGCGTCACCGGCTCTGTAGGCTGCGGCTTCTCATCGGGAGCCGCCCGCCTCTTCCTGAACTTTTCTTCTCGATGCCTCTTATTGTTCTTGGCCTCTTTGGGAACCTGTGTAGTAGGACCATCGGCAGCCTTCCTTTTCTTCACAGGGCCAATCCGCGCAAGGAGTTTCATGAAGGGGTTAGTATGATCGGCTTCATCCTCTGGCTCGCCCTCCTCCTCATTGGCATCTGATGGCTTTGGTGTGTCGGTGGAAGTCTCCAAAAGAGCATCCCCATCCACAAATACATCAGTGGATGAGCCAGCGGATCCTCCCCTCAGAGTGACTGCGCGTGATGCATCACATACCCTGCCAAGTTGACGTATAGCAGCACTGTGAATGGTGTCATTCTGGTTGGCCGACAAGACTACATCTGGTGTGTTGAGTAGAGTTTGTCGGTCCACACTGGTCGTGTCTTCGTCGATGTACTCATACACTCCCTCGTCCTGAAACATGCAATATGAATATACCATCATAGAATATATCTAATGTATATGTTAATAGTCATTTGATTCACACACTATGTGTGATTCCACTTTAATTCACAATTTAATCATCCATCCGGCCCGGCCTCGCTGTTGATAACATCAACGCCAGTGATCTGCTTTCCCTTGAACAGCTTTGTCTTGACCCGCTCAGCAGCAGGTTGGCCAAATTTGCGGACAAAGACAGATAGTTCCATGAATTTTGTCTTGGGGCCCTTGAGGCCTTGCCGCTGTGTCTCGCTCACGGTGACACGCTCCTCTGCACCAAAGAGGTCTAGAGCTGCTGTCACCCTGGAAGCCGGGTCTGCCTTCTTCATGTCCAATAGCCGTTCCCGCTTTGAAAGAAATTCGTGGGATTTTTCAGGTTTTGCATCCAACTGCTTGTCTGCCTCACTCGCTGTGCCATACTCGTTCAGATAACCCCCAATCTCCAGAACCTCCACAAGGTGTCAGTGTCTCCATACACACACGACCATGTTTGCCTGTACCCCATGTATCCGTACCCTGTACCATACGCCCGTACCACGTACCCGTACCCGTACCATGTACCCGTACCCTGTACCATGTACCCGTACCCCGTACCCGTACCCCGTACCCGTACCACGTACCCGCACCCCGTACCCGTACCCGTACCCCGTACACGTCCCATATGTACCCACCTTTGAGTTGTACCCTATTAGCGAGGGTACGGGGTACATGGTACAGGGTACGGGTACATGGTACGGGTATGGGTACGGGTACGTGTACAGGGTACATGGGTGCAAATACATGGAGCGGAATACAGTGATTAGATGTGGAGAACTTTATCTAATCTCAACTTCTCAACTACACCGTTTCAGTTTGTGTGGCCCCCAAGTGTGGATTTAACACATTCACAAAGCATCTGGTCACACATTTTGATGAACCCCAGCCTTGCGGCATAGCAGACAGTGACTGCCGACCGGGCCAAGGATGCAACCTTTCTCCCAGGCGATGACCAGTCCCCAGCGAAACTCGGGGCCCTTGGCTTGATCATACTCGGCTGGTTCGCAATTCCATCGTCCACAACGCCTGCACTTGCGAAAGACAAATGCGTCTGGATACTCGACGCCTGGTGGTGGTGGTGGTGGACCACCACGCCCAGAAGTCACTGTCTTCGATGTTTTTCCACCCACTGATGGAGGCATGACACTTGCAGCACAGGACAGGACGATTCAGATGCCTAGAACTCACCAAACAAAATGGCTGCAATCAGAAACATCCAAAACTCAATGGAGATTGAAAGGAGGCATTGATTTGTATCTCAAGCTACCGCAATAAGGTTTCACTTTACACATACACGCTCGATGATCAGCCACATACTTTTGCAGTTGCAAGTTGCAAGCTGTAAGCTGCAAGCAGTCCGAACTAGCACAGTTCCCAATAGTTCGGATCAACTAAAATGAACCCTTAGCAAATGAGAGAGCATCATTGTGGCTCAATCAAATCCCCACAATTCTATTGAATTGTGCCATGTGCTCAGCACCTTGCGAACGCCCCAAAACCTGCCTGCCACACACTAGCCATTGCAGTAGGCCAGGCTCACAATCATTTGGCAACTTCTTTGCAGATATGAGTTTGCAACACCGGGTATGCTGGCCTGGTCAAGAGATTCGTGAACAAGGGACATATTGACTGTGCACTGGCTGTGTGAAGATGTCTGAGAAGCAAGCTGCAACGGATGGAAATCGAGTGGGAACCCCCTTCATGAACTCCGTTATACGACCTTGGCAAAAATAGTGTGTGCAAAACTGAAACTGTGGAACCTATCAGACAAACAATCAAACATAGTGTCATGAGTCATAGTGCGGAAATAATTGTAGTTTGGATTGGATAGGTGCCTGGCCCAAGTGCAGTGGCAATTGGGTGCTTTCATTGTAGACCCAGCAATGACCAGCATCATCTCGCCAGGGAAGCGTCTTCGAAATGATTGGGATCGTATTCTCAGTCTGTTGGCTGTTTGCTCTAGAGGAGCTAGATGGCCCTGACTGCGCTTGAAGTGACTCTGACTTGGACTTGTTTCTATCAGCTTCGCTTGGAACTGGCCCAAGGTTGCTTTCCAAAGCCGTAGACCAAGCAGTCACTATTTCATCGTGGTGATCACCTGCAGCGCCAGGAAATTCTGGGTGTTCTTTCAACTCTGGGTCCTGTTCTTGTTTCTGTCTCGGCTTTGGCTTGAGCTTGCACGAGTCCTTCTTCACTGAAATTGACCCAGCAGCTTTGTTCGACGACTTGCGCGACACAGACGTTTTTTGTTTTCTCCTTTTCTCACCAACTGCCAGCTTCAACAATGCAGACATTTTTTTGAACTTGTTGTCCTCGTCGCTGTCTCCACTATTCATGTCATCATCATCTTTGCCACCATCACCATGATCGTGACTCAAAGACTGTTGTACCAACCCTGAACTGAAATCCTGAACAGATCCAAGGTCCAGCTCAATCTCATGAAGGGAAATGGCCGTGTATTTTGTTGTCTTCAGAAAGTAGTTGCCTTCCTCAAGAGAGAACATGTACAACAACTTTGGCAATGGATAAAACTTGGCCTCGCCGCTTGCAATCGCCAGTGAGGCAATTCTCTCACCAGTCATGTTGAACTCAATCGCTGTGCCCCCAAATGGTGAGAATGTGAGCCTGCACAAAAGAAAGACTTGAATTTGTTTGCTTTCAATGCTAGCCTGCAAGGAGTCTGTCGAGCACCACAACAATATGGGATGGTCTGGCACGAAACCAGAAGTTCTTCGGATTGAGCGGGAATGCCGTAGTAAATTCGTGACATACTCCTTCAACACATAGTACTTCTCTGGCACACTGGCTCTACAAATCCCAGGCGCAAACACACTTTGACAATCGGTGGGAGGAGAATCATCCTCATCATCCTCCAAATCATTGCCAACTTCCGTGAAGGTGCCGTAGGCAGACTGAAATTGCAAGTGTGATTGGTCTAGCCAGCTTCCACTACCATGAGGATGATTTTTTGTCTTGCAGAGTCAACTAGAGATTCAGAGATTGCAAAATGATCGTCATCCAGCAAAACCATGTTTGGGCACTCTGTACATGTGCTCAGCTGGCCACCGCTGGGAGCAAGTTGGTCATCGCTTGCAACATCACCAACAACATCACCAGCCACGTCTCTGTCCAAGCCTGTGTCCACCAGCAATGAAGAAGACCTTGTCCGGCTCCGGTTTAAGGACCGCGCTTCCTGCCGCATTTCCTGCAATTTGTTAACCACATACACTTCTATACTCTACTCAGACTCTACTCTATACTATGGCACGTGCCTATGCTATAATATATAGTGTACACAGTTTGACAGTTTATGATATTTACAGACCTGACACATACATCTGTTGGACATGCCACAGAGTACACTTTCATTTTCAAAACAATTGCTTCATTCCAACCACTGCTTCACTCCTCCTGGATGGATTCCCGTGAACGAAACTCTTGCCGTGCATCAGACCAAACCCTTCTGCGGCATGATTCCTGTGTTTCCCCTGGTAGAAGAACCTTGTCAGCAAGCAAAGCATCGCCCAGGGGTCAGAGGTAGAGTCATGACTCAGAGTCATAGTCAACAAAGATTGAACTACTAAACTCAAGGCATAAGCTGGGCTGGGCACTCGCTCTTTGAGTTTGTTGGCCAAAAACAAAGTCCAACCATTGTAATGGCCTTTGGATTGGTCGTTGCCATCTTCAGCCGCGTCACTTCCAAATTCTCCTGTAGGCATGTCATAGCAGCTAACAAGCCAGTTGATTGGTTAGCCAGTTGGCCAAAATGAATTCAGCAAGTCACTTGGCAATCAGAAATGCAAATGGTCATAAATGGTCCGAAAACACCAAACATTGCTGAATGGCTACTAACTACTGGCAGCGCAGTATTGCTTATTGCACCATACCACACTCCTGCATGCTGCCTTTGGTGTTCCTTCTGGATTTCGCTCAATATAAACTTGGCAACCTCAACCCGAATCGAATTGACTCCGTTGTCCGGAATGGTCACCTGTCTATCTATGTCGACAAAGAAGGAACTAGGAACAATGAGAGTCGGACCATGCTGCTAATCTGGTGTGACTTTCCTCTTGTCACCCTGATCGGAAAAGAAACATTAGACTCTACGGATGACTGGATGACATTGACCTGGCGTCACATCCATTGCTGAGACTTCGGCAGGCGCTGCGAAACTGCCCTTGCAAAATTGCATTCAACCTCTGTGTTGGCAACCTTCCGCATGGCAAACAGACTGACCTGGGTCGAGGGTCGTATGCCCCTAACGCTGTAGGAATTTCTTGGACTTGGGCAAAGGCAACTTGAGAAAGCTCAGGATTCGAGAGGAGAGACTCCTTTGGCAAATTGTTGACCTGGCGGAAGACATATACACAAATGACTGATTCACCAAGATTTGCTTGAATGATGATGAGCGGTTTGGTTTGATGTCGATTCGATTGATTTGATAGTTTGGTTTGACACACCTGGCCTGCATATAGTCTTTCAAGCGCTGGGAAAAATGCTGGTCAACACAACAACACTTTGCAGTGTAAAACTGCTCGGCCACTGATTGCTTACAAGAACTGCTTGCACACGGGTCTACCAGCACCGCCAGCTGGTGTGGCCACGCCTGAAGCAGACTGGCAAGTGGCGAGAGTGGCGAGAAGCATCAACGCTGCGTAGAAGTAAGTAAACTTATATAGAGCCTAGAAACTACAGTAGTTGGTAGCGTCGTTCAAAAGAATAACTTCATTACATATAATATGCAGTGTATATATATATATGGCATGTTCTATTAAAGTTAGCAACTCGTTTGTCTCGTTTGTGGTTTGCAAGCCTGAAAATGGTATACCAGACGATGCCACAAGTGCGTCATATTCGAGAACAGAACAAACTGGGCCATGTGCATGGACTCTCCTGTGCATGGACTTATGTAAACTTGCAACTTACCCGTCGCAAATGAAGATCAAACAGACACACACACATTGTTTCAATATGTTTCAATAAAAGAAACAAACATGTGTCCTTCCAAGCAAGGAGGATATGGTCCAGTTGCCATGCGCACATACTCGCGAACAGCTTTGATTGCCGGTGACCTCTGATGCAACTTACTGGCAAAATCTAACGCCAATCAATCAACTCAACTCCCATCCCAATCCCATCATTGCAAAAGAATCTGTCCTGTCGGAAGATGCAAATTCAACCGCTGGTAGTTCGCTTGGTTGCATGTCGCAAAGCCAAGACCGTCTCTTTTGCCCTGCAAACAAATAGCACCTCAAAAGTATTGGAAAGAAAACATTCATTCATGCAGATGCAA